ACCTGGACATGCTCACCAACCTGAGCTCAGTCATCAGGGCCATGCATCGCCCCTTCGTCGTGGGGGCCGACTGGAACATGCTGCCCGACTTAGTGAATGAGGCCCACCTGATCCCTGCCGCGGGCGCACGGCTGGCGTGCTCAGGGGAGGCTACCTGCATCACCGCGACGCGGGAGCGGAAGCTCGACTACTTCTGCGTGGACGCGGACACGCCCGTCCAGAGCGTCAGCAGGTGCGACTGCTTCGACATGAGGACGCACCGCGCGGTCCTCCTGCAGCCGGCGCTGCCCAAACCTGGTGGGCTGGTGACGCGGGTGCACAAGGCCCGCGCCTTCCCTGCCCAGGCCTTGACTGGGCCTCAGCTGCCTGGGCCAGACTGGGCTGACGTTCATGCCGACCTGTACTCAGTTACCACGCCCGCGGGCCTCGAGGCCGCCCGTGCGAAGGTCATGGACAGGTGCGAGGACGAGCTGCTGAGGCACTTCGACCTGGAGGGTACGCGTGAGGCCAGCAGGTACAACGGCAGGAGCGAGGGCGCGAAGCTGGCCCAGACGCAGCTGGAACGCCACTGCTCCAGCAGTCGGCAGCCCACCGAGCGGCCAGACCCAGCCGATGCGCACTGGGGCTGGCTGGCTGACAGGGCGCAGGAGCGGCGGCTGCTGCGGGCTGGGGGGGGGCAAGCGGCGCGGGCTCATGCGAGGAGCCTGCAGGCGAAGCTGCTGCGCTTCAAGCCACCCGTCCCTGGCTGCGAGCAGACGGTGTGGCGAACCTGGCGGCGGCTGGCGCGGCGCCTGCATCGCCTCCCCGATGTCGAGTGCGACGAGCTGCTGGCCCTCCTGCGCCGTCAGGCGGTGGCTGCTGCAGGGAGGGCGTCGCACAGGCGCTACAAGGCCTGGCTCGACTGGACGCGCGACGCCACCGCAGCGGATGGCATGCGCATGGCGTTTCGCTGGATCCGCGAGCCTGCCCCATGGGCGGCGGCACGATGGTCGCCAGCTGCGGGGCTGCAGACGGCGCAGAAGGCGGCGGATGCGGCCGTCAGCCCGCGGCATGCCCTGTGGAGCCAGGGCGAGGGGCTGGAGGCGATCCGCTGGCCCAGGGAGCTTGGCGACGCCCCCCCCTCTGCCGACGCCCGATGAGCTGCGGAAGGTGGGCCGCTCCTTCCCGCGCATCACGGGCCTGGGGGGCGACGCCTTCCACCCGCGGCACGTCGCCTTCCTGTCGGACGGCGCGCTGGTGGCCCTGACGGCGGTCTGGCGGCACATGCTGGCCCTCGAGCACGTGCCGAAGGCGCTGGTCGTGCTGCTGATGGCGCTCATCCCGAAGGCCGAGTCGGGGTTCCGCACCATCGGGCTCTTCGCGGGCCCCCTGAGGCCCTTCACGCGCTGGGCGCGCGGCGCGCTCGGCGCCCGCTGGGCCAGCGACCACCAGAGGGACTACGTCCACGGCACGGCTGGCCAGAGCTGCGAGACGCGCGCGTGGATCCAGGCGGCCAATGCAGAGGTGGCGACGCACCGCAGGCAGGCGTCCTGCACGGTGCTCATGGACCTCTCCAAGGCCTACGAGCACATCCCGCGGGCGCTGCTGGTCCTGCGCGCCCGCGCCATGGGCTTCAACATGATGCTGATGAGGATGCTAGTCAGGCTGCACGCCCTGCCGAGGCTGGCCACCGTGGACGGCGCCGCCATGGGCTGGCGCAGCCCGCAGCGCGGAGTGGTGGCAGGCTGCAGTTTCGCCGGCCCCTGCACGCGCATCTTTCTCGCCTCGCGGCTGGATGAGATCGCGGCGCTCGGCACGGTGGACACGGGCAACACAGTCGACGACATTCAGCTCAGCAAGGTCGGGCCGCCCAGAACCGCGGCGGCCAACGTCAGCGCAGCCTGCGAGAGAATCCCACCAGCCCTTCAGGGCGTCGGTGGTTTAACGAGTTTCCTCTTCCACCCCTCATTCTTCCCCTTCGGGGGGGGGGCACCCCTCCCCCTACCCCCTCCCCACTTACCGGGACAGGAGGGGCGGGGAGCGGTCAGAGCGTCCAAAACGGCCTCGCCGAGGAAGCCAACATCATGGATTTTACTAAGGTTTTGGCCCCATTTTGGCCTCCTGATGGGGGCAGCGCTAATTAAGGCCCCCCTCTTCTTCGAAGCCAAAATCATTGATTGCACTTCGGTTTTGGCACCATTTTGGCCTTCTGAAGGGGGCAGCGCTAATTAAAGCCCCCCCCTCTTCTGTGAAGCCAAAATCATTGATTTTACTAAGGTGTTGGCCCCATTTTGGCCTTCAGGGGGGAGGGGGGGGGGGGGGCAGCGCAAATTAAAGCCCCCCTCTTCTTTGATCGATTTCCTCCAAGATGGGCCCCAAGAGGCGCCCAGGAGGCACCAAGAGCCCCAAGATGGCCCCAAGATGGCCCCAAGAGGCCCCCAGGAGGCCCCGCGAGGATCCCAATGGCCCGAGCCCCCCCCCCCCCCCCCCAGGCACCCAAGACGCCGAAAAGCCCCTCAGGACGACCCTCTACTCGCCTGGGCGTCGTTTCTGGACGGGCTGGTGGGGATGCGCGAAGCATCTAGAATTCGAGACGACCTCTCGGCGGACGGGCTCGTCGTCAACGACGGCAAGGGCGTGGCGCTGTCCAACTCGTCCGCCTGCGGTCGCGAGGTCACGCGACGCTGCCGCCCCCTGCGCGGCAAGCTCCAGAGATCGGCGAGGAACCTGGGCGTCGACTTCGCCAGCGGGCGCCGTGCGGGTGTGAGCACGCGGGCCAAGCACGCTGCCACTGTCCTGCGCCGCGCGGCACGCATTCGCGTGCTCCGCGCGGCTCGAGGGGGAACACGGCAGCCCGTCAGCCCTGGGCTGACCCCAGCTAAATGTCGGGGGGGGGGGGGGGGGGACTGGGAGGGCGTGGAGCGGGATCGAACCGATGAGGCGAGCGGCACACTCGGCTCTGCATGTGCACACAGCCCGCCGCTCCCTCGACGTCGACCTCCACCTCGCCCCTGCCCCCCCGTGGTCGGCGGACCCCGCCTATGCGTGCACGGCAACACCCATTCTCAGGCTGGCTCGGGCGATTCGGTCGGTCCACGTGGATTCCTCGGGACTCGGTCGCCAGGCTGATGTTTGCCTCTGGGGCCGCGTTCTTGGCCGACCCGTTCAAAAGCGACTGGCCCCTTGCCAAGGGCCCGATCTCTGCCGCCGTCGCCAGCTGCCGTCGGATCGGGCGGAGGCTCGGCCCAGGGGCGCGCATGCTTTTAACCCACGAGGGGGATAAGATCGACCTCGCTCGCATGTGCCCCCGTTCAACGCTGCGCGTAGTCCGATTTGCTATCGAGGATTGGCTGTTGGATCGTGCTCACAGGTGTTGCGAGTACTTGTCGGGCCTCTCTCACCGCCCCCATGTGTTCCCCCTTCGCAAGCTCTGCAACGGATCGTGCGGCTCCGATTGGGCCCCTCGGCACCAGGCCAGTCTCCGTGCGATTGCTGCGAACGGGATCTGGGACCAGGCTCGGAAGTCCCGGCATGGTCTGACGACCGATCCGTCGTGCCCCCTGCGTGGCTGCTGCCCAGGCACCTTCGCCGCGTGGATCGCGGGCGAGTGCCTGGCCACATGGCAGTCCGTGCGAGAGTACGACCTTCCCCCCTCCGTCAGGTCGGGGCTCCGCGAGCACCCCAACTGGGCCCTCTGGAGGCATGGCCTGGTCCCCCATCCTCGGCCTTGGGTGCTCGGCCCGTCCCTCTCCCTCCTCGTCCGCTGGCTCAAGCGTCCGCTGGACGGTCATTTCGAAGGCGAGGCCTTCGGCGACGGCTCGTGTGCGTCGCTGGCACAGGGCGACCAGCGCCTCAGCCGTGCGGGCTGGTGTGTAGTGCAGGTGGGCGCCCGAGGGGAACTCGTGGCCTCCCTGTGCGGCTTGCTGTCTGGATTACACCAGGCGTCGGACTTGGCCGAGGCGCACGGCCTGCTCATGTATATCACGCATGTTTCGCTCGGCCCCTTTTGCTACCACACGGACTGCGAATGGGTGGCCACGAGCTTCCAGCGTGGCCGCCTTGAGACCACGGGCGCCATGTGTGAGGGCGCTGACGTGTGGTCTCAGATATGGGATCGGGTGGACGACCTTTTGGGGGGGGGGGGAGGTGCTGAAAGTCAAGGGCCACGCCCGCCGCCGTCATGACGACGAGCAGGAGCTGGGTGCGGTCGCGCGGTGGGGAAACCACCACGCAGATGCTGGCGCTCGCGTGGGCGCTGCTCTGCATCCGTCGGATGCCGAGGCGAGCGCGCGTGTGCAGCGCTCATTTAAGCTGGTCACGTTCGTGGCCAAGTTCCTGGCCAGGACTTTGCAGGCTGTCGGCCCCAAGTCGCAGTCGGCACCTCGCCACGGACAGCTGCGGCGGGCGCAGAGGCGAGGACCGACGCCCGCCCTCACGGCGGACACGGAGCCGCCCCCAGGCGCGCACGTGCCTGTGCCCGCGCCCACGGGCGGCGTCAGGTGCGCGAGGTGTTTTCGCGTGGCTCGGCACCGTGAGGCCATCGACCCTCCCGCGTGTGCCCCTGGTGGGGGTCACCGCGTCTGGCATGTATAGGCCAGTTCATCTTCTGTGCCCGCTGCGGTGCGCACTCGAGCGAGTTTGGACCGTCTTTGGGAGGGCCTCCACCCTCGCACTGGGCGGCCGCTGCCGACTGACAAGGGTCAGCTGAGGCCACGCCCATTCGGCGAGGTCGTCATCGACGCCACCATCGGGGGCTTGGCCGTGGTCGATGACGATCGCGCCGAGTAGGGGTGGCCTCCTGACCCGTCCTCGTGTGGCACTCCTTCTGGAGGTGCCCGAGGCCTTTCCTTCTTGTCAGGCGTCAGCCTGAGTCTGCTTGCGTCGCATGCGCACGCTTGTGGCCCCGTCTGGATAAACTCCTCCTCCTCCTCCTCCTCCTCCTCCTCCTCCTCCTCCTCCTCCTCCTCCTCCTCCTCCTCGTCCTCCTCCTCCTCCTCCTCCTCCTCCTCCTCCTCCTTCTCCTCCTCCTGCCTTCCCCTACCACAGCCTCAGCGGGCCGCGCGGTACGATCGAGCCCCCGACCTGAACGTGGCGCGCGGCGGGGGCGACGGCGGCGCCACGGGCGCCAAGGACTCCGCCGCGCCCACGCTGGCATCCGCGGCGGCGCTGCCGTCCTGGGGCAAACCGGAGCGCGCCGCGCGGAGCGACAGCACCGCCGGCCCCGCCCAGCTCCTCGGCTCGCCCGACGAAGCCCGCGGCGCGTGGTCGCCGTCGGCATCTGCGTCAGGCGGCACCCCCGCCGCCTCGGGCTTGGGCTCGGAAGGCCGCTGCAGGGCATCGGGCACGGGCTCCGCAGGCGTCTCCAGGAGGCAGAGCTCCTCCTCCAGAAGCGGGGGGCGCCCCCACAGGACGCCATTCTTGAGGTCACAGAGGGAGGTGGTCCTGAAGTGCTTCTCCGGGAAGGTGGTCCTGAAGTGCTTCTCCGCGTCGCTGAGCAGGCGGCTCGCGCGGCGCGGTGCCGCCATCGCGTTGCTGACTTGGGCCTCCACCGACCAGGGTCAATGCAAACCCGGGCCAGCCGGGCAATGCAGGCTCCTGCAGGATCCTGCGCTTCAAGCCCTGGCCCTACAGGATCCAGCAGGAGCCGGCGCCCTGGCTGACCCCCGGCTGCAGTGACCCCCGTCCCTGGAGCGCCTACCGATGGGGCTCGGACGGCGGCCGCGGATGCGCAGGCCAGGCCCTCCGAGCTCGCTGGGCTCCTGTGGACAGAGGGCCCTGGGGCAAACGTGCTGCGGAGACCAGCAGGAGGAGGAGGAGGAGGAGGAGGAGGAGGAGGAGGAGGAGGACGAGGAGGAGGACGAGGAGGAGGAGGAGGAGGAGGAGGACGACGACGAGGAGGAGGAGAAGGAGGACGAGGACGAGGAGGAGCCCAGACATCGGATGTCGCAAACAGCTCGTGGCATCGTGAAGCAAAGTCGCGACTTCAGCTGCCGGCCTGCTCTCCTCGGCGAGAAATCTCGAGCTGGGTCGACCTGCGGGGGTCCCGAGGCCCGAGTCGGGACACGCAAATACATACACACAAATAGCAGGATTCCCCCTATTTTCCCATGGCTTCTGGGTCTTTGTCTTCTCCCCCAATGCCCGTAGATTCCCATATTTTCTGGGGAATCGACGATTCATTGTGTCTGTGTGTCTGTGTGTGTTTTTCCCCTCCTGATCAACGCCCAGATGCCAGGAGAGAGGAACTGGCGGCGGCAGCCGAGTCGGGAGAAGCCGAACCGGCAGAACTCGGCAGAGCAGTGAGGCCCCATCCCAGAGGTCCGGTGTCGTGACTTGTTCAATGCGGGGTCCCCGGAAGTCTCGACCCATTCGGCGGTGGACAAACCTCCCTTTAGTAAACCTCCCTTTAGTGAAAACGGCCTGGGACCGAAACCGACGGGCCTGGACCCGCAAAAATAACGGCCGCGACGCCCTCTCGCGAACCGAAAACGGCCAATTCCTCACTCGACGTGTCAGGGTAGGAGGTCTGTCCAGCCCCGATGTTTCATCCTGAGTCCTTCTCTGACGGTCCCGAGGTCCGGCGAAGGCCCCTCGGGGCCGCAAGTTGCGAACAACCTCCGTCTTGATTTTTGTCAATGCGTGGGAGCTCTGGGGCTGAGAAAGCGGACTCCGAACCGGCCTCCGCAGTCGAATCGGATCGGAGTCGGAAGCCATCAAAATCGAATCGAATCGAATCGAATCGAATCGGAGGAATCGAAAAGAGCCCTGGGTGGGGCGAGGCCGGCGGCCTTCTGAGAAGGTAAGAGGCTCCTCCAACGGGCCAGAGGCCTCCGAGAATGCCCGCGAGAATCGGCGGGAGGGCCTCCAATGGAGCACCCCCTGCCTTGCCAGAAGGCCCTGCCCCGCCTCGCCCCCCCTCCTTGGCACGAGGGAGAGGAGGGCCATCGAAGAAAACGGGTCCAGGACATCGGGGACGTGAGTGCTTTCTTGTTCCGCGTTTCGACGTTGGGCGGAAAGGGGGGAGGGATGCGGGGGGGGGTCTAGCTCCGGACCTCTGCTCAGTGCGACTGTTTGAAACCGTGCGTCCTGTGGGGAGACTCCACCTGCTCGAAACAGGCGCCCAAAACAGCCAGGATCTAATGACTCCATGGGGGGAGAAGGGGGGGTGCGAAAGTCCGCGCCGATCGGCAACACAATGAATAAGAAAACGAGCACCGTTTGCTAACCCGGGTCAATGTGTTTCTTTATTGTCGGCGGCGACGTGAAAATAAAACAACGCTATGTGGCAACGAATGGGCCACGGAAGAGCAAAATGAGCACACGTACGGGTGAAATAGATCACTCGGGCAACCGACAGCTGTGCGAGAATAAGGGCCCCTGGAATGATTGAAGCGATGACCTAAACTCAAGCTGATTGGGAACGAGCCACGTCCACGAGACACGTCGAGATACTAATCAAGCTTTGTCTTACAAAATTGTGATCGCAAATCCGCAGGCCCCAGAGGCGTGTGAGACTCAACTGTTCCCGTGTGGACCACGCCCCCACCACGTCCCCGCACCTCCACCCCTCGCGACCCCGCCCCACGTCTGACACCCCCCAGCCTCTGGAAGCCTCTGGGCGTACGTTGTTAAGGACCACCCACCCTGCAAAAGTCGTCGCCGGCACCCCCCCACCACGTCTCACACGCCCAGCCTCTGGAAGCCTCTAGGCGTCGGTCTCCAGGGATCACCCACTCTGCAAAAATCGTCGCTCGCACCCCTCCACCACGTCTGGCACCCCCAGCCTCTGGTAGCCTCTGGGCATGTGTTTCTAGGGACCACCCTGCAAAAGTCGTCGCTGGCACCCCCCCCACCACGTCTGACATCCCCAACCACTAAAAACATCTGGGCATTCGTTTTTCGGAGCCACCCACCCTGCAAAACTCGTCGCTGGCACCCCACCACCACGTCTCAGACCCCCAGCCTCTGGAAGCCTCTGGGCGTACGTTGTTAAGGGCCACCCACCCTGCAAAAATCGTCGCCGGCACCCCCCCACCACGTCTGACACCCCCAGCCTCTGGAAGCCTCTGGGCGTACGTTGTTAAGGACCACCCACCCTGCAAAAATTGTCGCTGGCAACCCCCCACCACGTCTGACATTTCCACCCTCTGGGAGCCTCTGGATATACGTTTTTAGGGACCACTCATCCTGCAAAAATCGTCGCAGGCACCCCCTCACCACGTCTGACACGCCCAGCCTCTGGAAGCCTCGGGGCGTACTGCAAAAACCGTCGCCGGCAACCCCCCACCACGTCTGAGACCCCCAGCCTCTGGAAGCCTCTGGACATACGATTTTAGGGACCACCCACTCTGCAAAAATCGTTGTCGGCACCCCTCCACCACGTCTCACACCCTCTGGGCGTACGCTTTTCGGAACCACCCACCCTGAAAAAATCTTCGCTGGCACCCCCCCACCAAGTCTGACACCCCCAGCCTCTGGAAGCCGCTGTGCGGGCTAGGTTTTTTGGGACCACCCACCCTACAAAAATCGTCGCCGGCACCCCCCCACCACGTCTGACATCTCCACCCTCTGGGAGCCTCTGAGCGTCAGATTTGATTGGTCATTCACACTGCAAAAATCGTCGGCGGCACCCCCCCACCACGTCTGACACCCCCACCCTCTGGAATCTGGAAGCTTGTGGGCGTAGGTTTTCAGGGACCACCCACCTTGCAAAAATCGTTGCCAGCACCCCCGCACCACGTCTGAGGAAGCTTCTGAGCGTAGGTTTTGACGGACCCTGCAAAAGTCGCCGCCCGCACTCCCCCACCACGTCTCACACGCCCAGCCTCTGGAAGCCTCTGGGCGTCAGTTTTTAGGGGCCACCCACCCCGCAAAAATCGTCGCTGGCACCCTCCCACCACGTCTGAGACCCCCAGCCTCTGGAAACCTCTGGGCGTAGGTTTTGAGGGACCACCCACCCCGCAAAAATCGTCGCCGGCACCCCCCCACGCCGCGTCTGGCGCTCCCCTGGCTCCTGGAAGCTTCTGGGCGTAGGTTTTGAGGGGCCACCCACCCTGCAAAAATCGGCGGCGGCACGCCCCCCCCCCCCCCACGTCTGACACCCCCACCCTCTGGAAGACTTTGGGTGCACGGTTTTTCCTCAAACAGCCTGCTGAACGGGGTGCTGCCGAGGGAATTCAAAGCAAAGACGTCCAAAAAAATGTGGTGGTCCGGGCAGTCTCGCATGAGACATGCTCGCAACTCTCGTTTCTGAGTTTTCTGGGATTGGGAGTCTCGCCGGAGACATATTCCAAACTCTGAGCTCTGAGATGCCGTGCGCGAGGTGGTCCGGCGCGTTTCGCGAGGTGGTATATATTGTTCTCGATGAGACTTGCACGGCCCATCCAAGAATGGGGCATCGGATCTGGGTGCATGATCTTGCCCAGAGAGCACTTGGTTCCAGAGCAGATGTCAAGACTCAACTGCGTGCCAGCCTGAAAGTCACGCGCCGACGTTTGGCCGCTGCCAAACTGCAAGTAGCCGCCAAAAACGTCGCGGTGTGCAGTCATCACCCCGACGCTATCAAGATCTGTCGGTCTTTGCAGCTTGCAGGGTTTCAGCTTCGGGCTCTACGTCGCGCGGGATTTCTCGGTACTGATTTGGGCTGTGGTGGTCGACACACTAGCACCACTCGTCGGAAAAGGTTGACGAAGCATAAGATGATGCACGCCAAAATCAAGTAGTACGCAGTTGCAGGCCGCCAGCATGCAGTGACATCAAAGTTGGAGAGACTTGGTTCACAAGCTGCAGGTTTGTACGGACACCAGCTACACGGCACGCTTGGAGCGTACATGGATGCTTCTCGACGCCGACTCGCAGCTGCCATTGCCGCGCCCTCCAGGGGGCGATGCCGTCCCACTCTTCTGGTTATCAAAGGCGCCATTGGGCCCCGCCCTTCGACTACCAGACAAAACTACTGCGACAATGGCTTCGTGTATGGCAGGAGGAGCCCAGACTGCGTTCAGGCGTCTGCCGCGTGTGGGGCCCCCTGGTGGAGAAACTTCGCGCCATACCTCCAGGGCAGTCCGCGGTCCCGCGTCAGCTGTCATTGCCCCTCTTGTTGATAACGGCTGGGGCCCGAAAGATGACACACATTGGGCGCCGACCCCAAGCGCACCTGAGCACGAATCCATCGACTGGCAGTTTCCAGATGAAGTACGGACTGGCTGGCCAGACGTGGACGATCCAGGAGTGTTGGTCACAGATCTTCATAATACCACCTCACGGCAGATATGGAATCGAGTAGCTCAGCAGTACTGTGGATCAGGTATGGAAGGCGGTGTGGATGTGGTTTGTCTCAAACGTCAAAATCAACAACTACTGCAGGTTCAGAATGGGAGCCGGTTGTCGGAGCTATGAATTACTATTGCAGCTGGTGGCGTCTTGGCCACGGGATCGCAGCGCCGAGCCCACCAGCCGCAGCAGGAGCATCACGATCGACCCGACTTGTCAGAGATGCGGTGAGGAGCGTGAGACTGCATTCCACAGATTTGGGGGATGCCGATGCAACTCTGGAGCAACAGCCTAGTCGTTTTCTGATAAGTTGATTGGAAAAGCGTACTCGGGATAGGGGGCAACATAACGCTTCTGGTTCCGAGGCCTCCTCCCGTCGTCATGGGTATCGGTTCCGCCTCCTATGAGCGAGGAAAGCTGGTTTTCTTCAGGTTTTGCTCTGTCTGGCAGCTTCGGGTCTGGGACACGAGCCCAACCCTTGCTTCCCTTTGGAGATGCCAGCGCGGGGGGGGCTAACTGGAAATTCTCGGTACCGCAAGGTCGGCCTAGCAGTG